TTTTGTGCTATGCACAATCTGTGTAACTGCACATGGTGTTCCTAGCTGGGGATCTTTCATGTCTTATTAAAACAGTGCATGGAGGACTGGGGATTTAGCTCAGTGGTTCTGGCACCTGCCAAGCACAAGGTCCCAAGTTTGATCCCCAGTACCAAAAAATAAAAATAAAAAACAGTGCATGGAATATAGTAACTAACCCCCTCCCCCATGTTTCCTTGAAGGAAGGGAGAAAGAGAGAGAGAAATAAAGAAACAGGGAGAAGAAAGAAAGAAAATACAGTTATGTGCTACCTAATGAAGAGATATGTTACATCATTAGGGGAGCTTGTTGTTCTGTAAACATGGAGTGTATATAGGCAAACTGTGAGGACTGTGATGTCACTAGGTAATAGGATCTTTTTGTTGTTTGCAGGGCTGGGATGGAATCCAGGACCTCACACATGCTAGGCAAGTGCTCACCACTGAGCCACACCCTTAGTCAGTAGCCTTATGCAGCATATGACTGTGTATCCATCAGGTTTTGCTGCAGTAATGAACATATCTTACTGGCTGAATCAACCAAAGTTTAATTTTGGCTCTTGCTACACAGCCATGGCAACTCAGCAAGAGATTCCCTTTTTGTTTTTGCGGTACTGTGGATCAAACCCAGGGCCCACTACCACTAGCTGCATCCCCAGTCCTTTCTATTTTTATTTTGAGGCAAGATCTCATTACGTTGCCCAGGTGGGACTCAAACTGGTGATCCTTCTGCCTCAGCCTCCTTGAATGCTGGGATCACAGGTATGTGCCACTGCACCTGGCTTAAGAGGTTGCATGTATTATGGTCACTCAGTCCTGGCCTGATAGAGTCACCACCTTGTAAAATGTGGCTGGCTGAGCCATAGCACTTTGGATATCCTTGTTCCAGGAATCAAATGCTTCAGCCTGGAGGTGTCATATGTCACCTCCTCCAGCAGGTCATGGGCCAGAGCTGCTCACCCACCTGCCCCAGCCCACAGGGTCAGTAAGTGCTGTCCACCTGCCAGCTTTGAAGTTGGAGGACTCAGAAATTTCAGCTTATGGCATTAATGAATGTGACTATAGAAAAATAAAAGAAAGCCTTGCTGCTTTCAGCCTCCATTTTCTCATTTGTTAAATAGGGCCAGTTGTGGTGGCACACACCTGTAATCCCAGCATTTGGGAGGCTGAAACAGGAGGCTCACTGAGTTTGAGGCCAGGCTGGACTACGTAGTGAGACTCTGTCTCAAAAAAAAGAAAAGAGGGGCCGGGGATTTAGCTCAGTGGTTTTGTCGCCTGCTGTGCCAGTGCAAGGATACAAGTTTGATCCCCGGCACAAAAAAAAAAAAAAAAAAAAAAAAAAAAAAAAAAAAAAGAAAGAAGGAAGGAAGGAGAGAGAGAGAGAGAGAGAAAGAAAGAAAAAGAAAAGAAAAAAGAGCTAGGGGTGTACCCCAGTAGTAGATCACTTGTACAGCACACATGAGGCCCTGGGTTCCAGCCCAAGTTCCATTAAAATAAACAATAACAACATTAGTGCCAGTTCCACATCCACAGATCCAACCAACAGCGGATCGAAAATATTTGAGGAAAAAATTGCCTGTGCACAGGACACGGTTGTAGTTTTGTCATTATGCCCAAACAATACACATCATGCCTGTCACCCACATTTACACCATGTAAGACTTCTATGTCACCCAGAGTTGATTTAAAGTACACAGAGACGGGGGTTCTCAGGGGCAGAGTTGGGTTCTGTCCCCAGTACCGCAGAAATAAACAAATATAAATGAAGTATACTGCACAGTTGTCGTAGATTGTGTACAAATACTGTTTGTTTTTTCTTTTCTGTGGTACTTCGGAATGACCCTAAGGCCTTCAAACTGAGCTACATCTCCAGCTTCCCTCCTTTTCAATTTTTATTAATTTATTTTTATTTATTTATATATTTTTTGGTGAGACAGGGTCTCGCCCTGTAGTCCAGGCTTGCTGTGAACTCCTTGTTGCTCAAGGGTGGCCTCGAACCCGCAGCAATCCTCCTGCCTCTTTCTCGCAGGTCCCGGGCAGCCCTCGCTTCTCGCTGCCTCCAATGCCGCTGGGACTGGGGCGGCGGAAGAAGGCGCCCCCTCTGGTGGAGAATGAGGAGGCCGAGGCAGGCCGCGGAGGGCTGGGCGGCAGCGAGCAAGGGCCGCTGGGTGGGGTGGGCGCGGGGCTCTCCCAGGCCGGACTGCCGCCCCCGCCGCCCGCGCTGCGCCCACGCCTAGTGTTCCACACGCAGCTGGCTCACGGCAGCCCCACGGGACGTATTGAGGGCTTCAGCAACGTGAAGGAGCTGTATGGGCGCATCGCAGAGGCCTTCCGCCTGCCGCCCGCAGAGGTGAGCTGCGGAGACCTGGTGGCCGGATTGAGGCCTGGCACACCCACACCGCCCAGACCGGGGCGAGGCGGGGCGGGGGTGGGGCTGATGACGCCATAGCTGCAAGCTGAGCTCCCAGGGGGCCTTGGAGGCCTGAACCCCAGCATGCTGTGGAGAACCGAGGGCCGGGGCTGATCACCCCCTCCCCCGTCAGATGGGGGCATACATCTCTCTGGCCAGGACCACGGGGGCCAAGGGCAGGTGGACAAGGAGTGAGGCCATGGGGTGACAGGGTGGGACCTGGGCTTCCAGACTCACCCCACAAGCGTTTCTGCAGCACCCGGCACTGACTTTGTGCTCAGGACACAGTCCTGATGCTGACGCAGGGCGGGACTCCCGGGCTTCTCCCACCTCTTGTCCCTGCCAGTTAGCACAGGGACCCAGAGGGACAGGGACGAGTGTGTGTGCCCCCCTACAGGTGATGTTCTGCACACTCAACACCCACAAAGTGGACATGGACAAGCTGTTGGGCGGCCAGATCGGGTTGGAGGACTTCATCTTTGCCCACGTGAAGGGGCAGCGCAAGGAGGTGGAGGTGTTCAAGTCGGAGGACGCGCTGGGCCTGACCATCACAGACAATGGCGCGGGCTACGCCTTCATCAAGGTCCCCCGAGGTCCCATCCCGAGCGGGCAGAGTGTCGGGAGAGACCCCAGGCTTATGTTCCCTTCCCCTTGCACAGCGCATCAAGGAAGGCAGCGTGATTGACCACATCCAGCTCATCAGCGTGGGTGACATGATCGAGGCCATTAACGGCCAGAGCCTGCTGGGCTGCCGCCACTACGAAGTGGCCCGGCTGCTCAAGGAGCTGCCCCGAGGCCGCACCTTCACACTGAAGCTCACGGAGCCCCGAAAGGCCTTTGGTGAGCGCCAGGGTGGGAGCTCCAGGTGACCCAACCTTGGCAACACAGTCCAGGCTGCAGGGCCCGGAACCACCAGCAGGTGGCACCCAAGCCCAGCCAGCGCCCTGGAATGGAGGCTGTGCAGCTCCACCCTGGCCTAGAAGGGGTGTTGGCTGGCTGCCCTGCTCCACGGGAGCAAGGAGGAAGTTGCCCCACACCCGCTTCCCAGGAGCCATTAGCCCAGCCAAGCGCCCCCAATCCCGGCAAGCCCCCCAGCTCTCAGAAGCCAGGCTTGGCTGCCCTGTGCCAGCCCCCCACTTTTCCATCTGGCTTCACTGACTCCCAGGAATGGGCCCCAGGCCCTGGGTGGGGGCAGGGAACTCGAAGCTCTTCCCTTGGCAGGTAGGGCTGGTGTGGGCTGCACAGCTGTACCCCTGGCCATGGGGACCAAGCCAAAGACCTAGGCCCAAGCCCCTCCCTCCTCCTCCAGTCCCCTCCCTGGCTTTCCCAGGCCTGGCCCTAGCTGCCCTTTTTTCATCCGTTCATCTCACCCTCCTGGTGCCCAGCCCCAAGGCCGCAGGTGCCTGAAGAAGCTTGAAGTTTGGGGGAGCATCCAAAGCCAAGCACCCAGTCAGGGATGCGATCGAGCTCTCCTTCACCCTGCCTCCCGCAGACATGATCAGCCAGCGTTCAGGGGGCAGCCGCCTCGGCTCTGGCCTGCAACTGGGCACTGGCCGAGGAACCCTCCGGCTGCGATCGAGAGGCCCCGCCACGGTGGAGGAGTTGGTGAGTATCCCTGCAGGAAGCCAGCACTCCTCCCCTGCGCTTTCATGGATGGCCACCTGACCTATTAGCTGAGCAGCTACCTATATTCCAGTCCACTCTTACCACCTCCAAGTGCTGGAACCTTTCTTGGGCAAGCAGGCCTCAGTTACACCATTTGTAAAATGGAGTCCTAATACCAAATACCTTCCTCTCCAGGTGGTCGTGAAGATTAAATGTGGATGGAATGCTGGGTAAAGCTAGGAAAAGAGCAGATAAATAAGGACACTTAGGCTGGCACAGTGGCGCATGCTTGTAATGCCAGCTACTGGAGAGGCTGAGGCAAATTCAAATCGAGGATTGAAAATTTAAGGCCAGCCTGGAGCTTAGTGAGACTATTTCAGAATAAAATATAAAGGGGCCGGGGATTTAGCTCAGTGGTTCCACCACCTGCCTCACAAGCGCAAGGTCCTGAGTTCAATCCCTGGTACCAAATAAAATAAAATATAAAAAAGGGCCGAGGGTGGAGCTGAGAGGTAGAGTACCCCTGGATTCATGTGATCCCCAATACTGCAAAAAAAAAAAAGGCACTTAATAAGAACAGTGACAATTATATGATTTTGATGAGCCTGTCCCTTCTTGCCCCAGCCCTCAGCCTTTGAGGAGAAGGCCATCGAGAAGGTGGATGACTTGCTGGAGAGTTACATGGGGATCAGAGACACTGAGCTGGGTGAGTGGGCACCTGGGGCTGGGGGAGGGAACTCCTAGGCCCCATACAAACCCCCTGCCCCTCTTACCCTCCGTGACTCCATTCTGTCCCCTGCCCATGCAGCAGCCACCATGGTCGAGCTGGGGAAGGACAAAAGAAACCCAGACGAGCTGGCCGAGGCCCTTGATGAACAGCTTGGTGACTTTGCCTTCCCAGACGAGTTTGTCTTTGATGTCTGGGGTGCTATTGGGGATGCCAAGGTTGGGCGATACTAGGAACCCACTGGACCTCTCAGTGACCAGGGCTGGCCTGCTGGAGGCCCCAGAGGGGACACATGGCCATGACCCTGTGCATCCAGCTGGGACTCAGAGCTGTAGCTCAGCAGTCAGGGGGTGACATGCAGCAGTGGGGCCCAGCCCTGCCTGCTCCAGTTGGTACCACAGTCCTCCCGGATCCCAGCCTGGCTGGGGTCCTCGGGCGCCCCCCTACCTCAACTGGGTCAGGATCCTGGGGAGGGACTCGAACAGGGCAGCCACCCCGCCACCTTCCACCATCAGCTGCCAAATGGGTTGCTGTGTCTCCCTGGGACCTAAGTTCTGTGTGGGGATCATGACCTGCTTTCCTGATACAGGGAATTCGGGGTGGGGGGGGGTCCCTCAGCAAATGCAATAACCCCTCCCCTCCACTGCCCCCTCCCAAGAGGAGCCCCTGACTTAGTCTGTTACCTCTGTGTTGGGAAAGTCTGCTGTGAACTCCCAACTGCCCCCCCACCCTGTTGTCTCGCCCTTCAGGCCCCCAGGAGAAGGGAGGCAGGGGCAGTGATGGCAGGAGCTTTTGTATCAGACTTTCTGTCTTGAACATAAAGGATCTATCTGCATCAGGACCTATGTGGCTGGGCATGCGGGGTGTGGGGTGTGGGGTGGGCTGGGCCTGGGAAAGAATGCAGCAGCTGAAATCTATCATCTTCCTTGAGCTCCAAATTGAATTAGGAGCTGGCCCCAGGCCACCGCCCCATCCCACCACCCTCCCAACCCGGCTTCTGGCTGTCGGCCACCAGGCTTCCAGGCAACGTGAGATTCCTGGCGACGGATGGTTCAAATCCTGCCCCGTCTCATCAAGGCTGCCTGTCAGCCCCTGTGGAGAGTGGGCGCAGGGGCCTTGCACCATTGCTGATGCAGCCTGAGGCACCCACCTGGGACCCCTGAATCTCACCCTTATACCTCCCCCCTCAGCCTTCACAGGACGTTCAGAGTCCACAGGCGTCCATGGTGCAGTGCTTCATGTGGGACATAAAACCAGCCTTGTTTTGACAGCCAGCTTCATCCTGGGATTGAGGGGATCAAGGACAGGGCGGGTGGGACTCCAGCCAGACCTGCAGGGAAGGGAGAGGGTGGGTCCAGGTCAGGAACGTTTGGGAGCCAGCTGAGGACCTGCTGCTGGGAGAAGGCAAGTCCAGCTGGCACCCCAGTTGCAGTGGGGGTGCTGGGAAGGGGTTTGTCCAAGCCTGAGCCTGTGTTAATGGGCAGGGTGGGAGCTGTGGTCTGGATGACTTGGGGCAACCCTGGGCACGTGAGGGTGCTGAATGTCTGGTGGGGGACAGCTCTGGTGCAAGGGGGTGGCTGGGTGAGCAGGACGCGTGTCTGTTGGGTGGCTGGTGGCCATGTAGAGTGAGGGCCATGACTTGGGTCTGGGTGAGTGGGGACCACTGTCCGTGTTCAGGGTGCACCTTGTGGCATCTTGGGGTGTGGAGTGTGACGGTGGTGCCTGTTTCCCAGGGTGTTGCTTGCGGGGATGGGCAACTGGCTGGGGCTTGGGTTATCCAGGGTTGAGGACCTGTCTGCCGGTGTAGGGGGCTATAAGTGTGTGGGCCTCAAGGTGTGGCAGGTGCTGGGGTGCAGCCAGGTCTAGGGTGGAGCAGGTGCCGTTCCTGTGCCTGGGATGCACCGAGTGTACCTCTGACCTGCAGTGTGACACTGAGGCTTGAAGGTGAGCCTGTATCTCCCAGAGCTTAGGACTGCAATGGGGGTCATTCTGGAGGGGTGTATTTAGGGTCTCGAGGGAATGGCTGTTGTCACGGCACCCCTGGATGGTCTCCTGTGCTGAGGGGTGAGGGCAGCTCAGTGAGTCCAGGTGTGTAACAATGGTATCTTGGGGGCAGGTGTGGCCACTGCTGGGTCTCAGGGTGTGTGGCTGTACAGGTGACCCCCAAGGCTGGGAGTATTTCTCAGCCGAAGGCGAGGCCATGGCTGTGTATTGGGGTGCAGGGTGTGATGACTTGCCACGGGTGTCAAACGTGTTGCTCAACACACCCAGGCAGGATTTGGCACTGGCCTGATCCCTAGACCTCCCAGTTTCCCGGGGTCCTCATTGCCGCCCTCTCCTCTGGGTGTGGCCTGGGCTGGGGCCCAATGTGCAAATAGTGGGCGGTCTCAGCCAGGAGGAACAAGCACTGCCACTGTCACTCATCCCAACACCCACAAAGGCTCAGACAGGGCAGGGGGTGCTGCTGTCCCACAGCCCCCCTGTGCCGGGCCCTCCTAGCCCCAAAGCCCTGGTGGGGGCAGCGCCACCCCGTGCAGCCTCCCCAGCCCGCCCTGGGCGATGCTCATATTTTCCAGTGTTTAGATTTTATCCTCTTTATTAATGAGGCGGGCAAGAAGCCCGAGCAGGGGGGGACTGTCCCCGCCCCGCCAGGAGGAGGGGGTCCCAGGGGCCAGGACAACTCCTGGGACCCTCCGTCAGAGGAGGGCAGCTAGGTTCCTGGGTGGCCCCTGCCCAGCACCAGGAGCACGGTGTGTGGGGGGGTCTCTGTCCTCGAAGGCCCCCAGCAGGCGTCCATACAGTGCAGAAGGCCAGCAGGGCGTGGTGGAGGCAGGAGCTGAGCACCGCCCCAGGAAGAGGGTGGGTGGGAGCTGCCTGGCCAGAGCTGGTCGCAGAGGGCGCTGAGCCGTGGGGGCCATGGGGGTCCAGCATCCCAGGCAGCACCAGGTAAGAGGAAAAGGTAGAGGGGACAAGAGGGCACGGGGAATGGGGCCATCGCTACCTTGGTCTGGTCCTGCTTGCCTCTCAATCCCCACTGTCTGCCCTTGTCCATTTTCCCATCTTTCCAGCCTCCCTTCTCATCTGGCCCTGGGGGAGTTTGCCTTTCAGCCCTCAGTGCCAGACGGTAGAGGAGTATGTGTGAGTGTGTGTGGTCCTGGGCTGCCTGAGCCTCGAGAACAGGAGAATGGGGTGGCAGGGCTGGAACCATGGTCCATGAGGCACAGAGATGTGGTTTTGGGGACAGAAACAGCACCATGGAAATCAAATAGGGCCACGGGGACAGACAGGATGCAGTGGGAACAGAGATGTGGCCACAGGGTATAGAAATAGGTCCTCAGACAGACAGGGCTATGAGGGACAGCTGGGACACTGAGGACAGAGACAAGTGTCATGGGAAGCAGAGATGGGTCCCTCTCTGTCTAAGGACAGGCACAGGGCCCTAGCCCTGGAGAGAGAGAGGCCCAAGATAGCGGAGTAGAGCTGGGGGCGTGGAGAATGGGACTGAAGCAAAGGTGACATGGTGACAGGAGCAGGGGGCAGTCAGGGACTGGGGACCCCAGCATCACAGAGGGGTCAGGGTGGGCCAGAAATTCACTGTAGGGTAAAAGCAGGTAGCAGGGGGCAGATGTATGGAAGGCTGGGGCCAGCAGAGTGGAAGCTGTGGGCCCTGGGGACAGCGTGGGCAGATATGGCGCAGTAAGAGGCTGGGAAACCCAGGACATTTAGAGTCACTGTAGGCAGAGGCCCCACGTGAGAACAGTGGGGGGTCCGATGGTCCTATGACCTGGGATGGGACAGCACTGAGTCTCCAGCCAGCCTCATGTGCCCTTCCTCTCTCCTACCCAGCCCTCCCGGCACCTGACATGAGCCCCTGCGGGCCTCTGAACTCGAGCCTGCCTGGCGAGGCAACAACGTGTGAGGCGCCTGGGGTCCCCAACACGTCGGCACCGTCAGGCGGTCCCAGCGCGTCACCAGCGCTGCCCATCTTCTCCATGACGCTGGGCGCAGTGTCCAATGTGCTGGCTCTGCTGCTGCTGGCACAGGCAGCGGGGCGGCTGCGGCGCCGCCGCTCTGCTGCTACCTTCCTGCTGTTTGTTGCCTGCCTGCTGGCCACAGACCTGGCGGGCCACGTGATCCCGGGTGCTCTGGTACTGCGCCTGTACACGGCGGGGCGTGCACCGGCCGGCGGTGCTTGCCACTTCCTGGGGGGCTGCATGGTCTTCTTCGGGCTGTGCCCACTACTGCTGGGCTGCGGGATGGCTGTGGAGCGCTGCGTGGGCCTTACGCACCCGCTGCTGCATGCAGCACGCGTCTCTGTGGCCCGTGCGCGCATGGCGCTGGGCGCGCTAGCTGCAGTGGCCCTGGCCGTGGCGCTGCTGCCGTTGGTGCGTGTGGGGCACTATGAGCTGCAGTACCCGGGCACCTGGTGCTTCATTGGCCTCGGGCCACCAGGGGGTTGGCGTCAGGCGCTGCTCGCCGGCCTTTTCGCGGGCCTTGGCCTGGCCGCTCTCCTTGCCGCACTCGTGTGCAACTCACTCAGCGGCCTAGCACTGTTGCGCGCGCGCTGGCGCCGGCGCCGCTCCCAAAGGCTCCCCCAGGTCGTTGGCTCCGACAGCCGCCAGCGCTGGGCACCACGCTCAGCCTCTGCCTCATCTGCTTCATCCATCGCCTCTGCCTCCGCTACCCTGCGCAGCTCCCGGGGCGGCGGCTCGACACGCAGAGCCCGTGGACATGACGTGGAGATGGTGGGCCAGCTCGTGGGCATCATGGTGGTGTCTTGCATCTGCTGGAGTCCCCTGCTGGTGAGGGCGCGGCTGCCCGCCCGCCTCACCCTTCCACGCTTTCAAGCGCTGGTCCTCACCCTACCCTGAGTCCTCTCTCTACCCCAGCCAAGGCTCCGCCTCTTCTGCCAGGAGAGCCTTTGCCTTTCTCTAAGCCTTCCTCCCGCCATCCTCCTCCTGGGATGGGGGTCTTTGTAGCGCACAGACCCACCTCCTTCAGTCCCCGGTGCGTCTCTCCTTTCTGACAGGAGCCTCGCCTGCTGAAGGCCTTTTTTTTTGGTACCGGAGATCGAACTCAGGTCCTTGTGCTTGCGAGGCAGGCGGTAGAACCGAGCTAAATCCCCGGCCCTATTAGGCCTTTTCTTACCCCTCACTAAAGCTCAGTCCCCTTGGGTCCCCCCACCGGGCCGGTGCAGCCCCCCCCCCCCCGACACTGCTGTCCCTGCAGGTGCTGGTGGTGCTGGCCATTGGGGGCTGGAGCTTCAGCTCTCTGCAGCGACCACTCTTCCTTGCCGTGCGCCTTGCCACCTGGAACCAGATCCTGGACCCCTGGGTGTACATCCTGCTGCGCCAGGCTGTGCTGCGCCAGCTACTTCGCCTGCTGCCTCCAAGGGCCCGAGCCTGGGGCGGCGCCACAGAGCTGGGCCCCACCAAGGGCGCCTGGGAAGCCAGCTCGCTACGCAGTTCTCGGCACAGCGGCCTCAGTCACTGCTGACTGTGGGACTGACGCAGTGCACCCCAAAGCTTAGGGAAATAAAGCCATTTCCAGAGCCTGGAGTGGGTCTGTCCCAACTGGGCTGCAGCTTCAGTGGGCATACAGAGGCACAGAGTCGGGGCCACACACAATGTTCCCGGGCCAGGGCCCCAGCGCTCTGGGGGGCACCCTGAGCCCCAGCAGAGTCTATCCCACTAGCCACGGCGCTGAGCTTGCCGGACACCCTGTGCCCACACCTCACCCCATCATCCTGGAAGCCCCAACACCTCCGCACGTCCCCAACTACCCCTCTCAAGCGAGCTCCATCCCAGCCCCGCTCCAAGCACGAGAAGGGACGGAGGATGCAAGGACGGGGCGAACCCCAAAGGCATTTTTAAAAACTAAGAACTCTAGGTGGGTGGAGTGGGTGCTAGCAGCCCCCGGGCACAAAGTCGAAGTCCCGGAAGGCGGCCTGCTCAGCAGCAGACAGGGGCCTCGCGTCTCGGGGCGGGCTGAGCGTGGGCGCCTCCCCCGTGAACTCCTCATCGAAGTTGCTGACATCTGTGCGCCCGGAGAGCTTGGGCACGAACGGTGGTGGCAGTTGGCGTGCCAGGAGTACGTCCCAGCCCAGGGTCTGCAGAGGGGAGAGGGGTGGAGGGGAGACAGACACAAGTGAACTTGGGGTCTACTTGGGGGTGTGTTGATGGTCAGTGGGGGCCTAGCTCACGGAGTGCTCCCCAGCTTGGAGGGGCACAGGCTGGGGGCAAGGAGGGAGGGAAGGAAATGGGGGTTCCTGGGGCGGTGCCACGTTTGAAGGGAGCTAGGCCCACAAGGTGAAGCCACTAGGCTTTGGGGAGAGAACTGGCCCTGGGTGGAAGGCAGACCTGGGCGGACCTGGGGGACTCTGGGGGCCCTCACCCTGAAGAAGGGCTGCTTTTTTACATCCTCGGCATCGCGCTCGCTGGACCCCAACCTCCGCTCTGGGTTCCTGCGAAGGAGCTGCAGGGAAAGAGCTGGGTAAGAGTCGGTGGCTTCCAGCCCAGTCTCTGGCCCCCAGCCCTCAGCCGCACTGTACCCTGGAGTCCTCACCCTTCGCATGATGCCAATGGCCTCAGCTGACAGGAAACGGGGGTAGCGAACCTCATCGTTGACAATGCTGTCGAACACCTCCTCCTCATCATCCCCAGGGAATGGGGACTGGGGACAGGCAAAGCTGAGGTGAGTGCAGCCCTGGGGGACTGTCACGCTTTCCCACAGGAGTGACTTACACAGAGGGGAAGGGGTCCGCTTACAGACAGGGAAACCAAGGATGGGGGCACTCACCTCACCCACCAGCATCTCGTAGAGCAGCACACCCAGGCCCCACCAGTCCACAGCACGAGTGTAGGATGTGTCTGTCAGCACCTCAGGGGCCAGGAACTCGGGGGTCCCGCAGAATGTGCTGGTCCGGTCCCCATAACCCATGCCTGGGGGCAGCAGGGCCGTGAGAACTCATGGAGCTGCGGCTAAGAGGGACCCTGAGTGACTTCCCCCTTCTCCTCGGGGTCCCCAGACCCCAGCCCTCACCCTCTTTGCAGAGGCCAAAGTCGGCGATCTTGACATAGCCCTCGGTGTCCAGGAGCAGATTGTCCAGCTTCAGGTCCCTGGGGGTCAGGAGGTGGGGAGGCGTGAGTGTGGGGCGGGCGGGCGTGCGGCGGACCCGGGCCAGCATGCCCTCCACAGGCAGTCCCTGGGCACCTGTAGACAATCTTGTGTTCATGGAGGAACTGCAGCCCCAGCACCACGCAGGCCGAGTAGAAGCTGCAGAGAGAGGCAGGGGGTCAGAGACGAGGCCCCCAGAGCTCCAGGAGGCTAAGGCAGGCGGGCCGTGGTAGGGCTCACATGGCACGAGGCTCAGAGAACACGTCGCTGTGGATGTGGAGCATGAGATCCCCACCAGCCGAGTACTCCATCACGAAGCACACATGCTCTGGTGTCTGGAAGCAGCCGAACAGGTTCACCAGGAAGGGGTGGCCCGCACTGGTCACTGCCGCCAGGATCCGCTTCTCACACATCAGGCTGGAGTGGGAGGCAGAGACCAAAGCTGTTCCCTGTACCTCCAACTCCCAGTCTCCCAGGGGGCCACAGCCCACGGTATCTGCTGAAGGCCTTGTGTTGTATGCGACAGAGCAAGGACTATTTCTGAACCTCAGTAGCTTCATCTGCTGACGGGGCACTCAGAATCCACCCATCTTCCTAACAGCACCCCTCAATTTTCCACTGGGGAACCATCAGGGTGGACACAGGGCCCAGGCCAATGGAACACCCATCTCTTGGGCTGGGAATGGTCACAGTGGCTGATGCCAGGATTCCCACTGGGATGGTTCCAGAACAAGGAAGGCTGCTGCCCGGCAGAGACCACACAACGAGGGGAAGACCTGAGGGCCTCATCCAAACATGACCTGAACACAGTCATGCTGGGAGCGGACAGCCTAGGACTCTTCTGATCCAGGCCAATAAATTCCTTCATTTGTGTAAGCCTTTCTGAGTTGGGTTCCCGATTATTAAAAAGGCTGCTGGGAACCCTGGAAAATACCAGTCTCTACAAGAATCAAGCACGGTTCAGATTTTTTCCTTTTTTTGAAACATGCTCTCAGAATTGCCCAGGTTGGGCTTGAACCTGTGACCCCCTGCTCTGGCCTCCCAAGTAGCTGTAATTACAGGCATGCACCACCCTGCCAGGCTGCACTGCCACCCCTGTGATGGACCAGGGTTCTGAGGGGAGACATGGCTTCCACTGAATCTCTAAGCACATCAGCAGACAGGACTGGAACTCAGGGCCCCTGCACCAAAGCAGGGGCAAAGCAGTGGTGCCATTAGGAGCACAGATCTCAGAGCCTGAGGTCCTAAGTTCAAATCCTGGGCCTGCTGCTGCTGCTGCCTGGCTGTGTAACATTGGGAAAATTGTTTATCCTCTCTGTCCCATCTGTGTATGGGCAAGACAGCATTTACCAGTCAGGGAACGAGTGGATGGCTGGGTTAACTGCAAAGATCTCAAATACAAGGGCACAAGAGGATGTCTTGATCCCTCCTCTCCTGGAAGAGGGGACAGAAGTCCCGGGGCCAGAGCAGAGCCTCACCTCTCCACCTCGTCCCGGGCCACTATGTCCCCTTTCTTCAAAGCCTTGATGGCAAAGAGCTCCCCGCTGGGGCGGAATTCAGAGAGCAGCACCTGGACCATGGTGGGGAGGGATGGTCTCAGTGGTCAGTCTGGCCCAGAAGCCCCAGACTCACAGCTCCTGACTCTGTGCCCCTCACCTTCCCAAAGTGACCCCGGCCCAGCACCGCCAGGAACTTGAAGTCCTCCAGGGTCAGAGGTGACTTCCTTAGAGAGCTGTGGAGAGCAGACACATTGGTAGGGGCTGGGGAAGGGCTGTGGAGCTGGGGTTGGGCAGGGCGTCACCTGCACAGGCTGGGGCCTGGGGTCTCCTGGGTCTCTGAAGGCAGCTTAGGAACAGTGGCCATTGCCTGGCTTGGGGAACCCTGCAGAGAAAGGTCAGAGGGAGGGGTGAGTGACATCCACAACCATGCCAGCTTCTGGGGCTTGGACCCTCTGGCCTCCTTCTTGCTCCTCGACCACATCCCTCCAGCCATAATGTCCCCCTCCCTGGGCCCTATGTACCCTAGGCACATTCCTACCCCAGGACCTTTGGACAGCTGTCACCTCTTCCAAGATGGCCCCACCCCCACATCTGTGTGATTCCTTCCCTTAAGCTTTTTTTTTTTTTTTTGGTACCAGGGATCGAACTCAGGTCCTTGTGCTTGCAGGGCAGGCAGAGGACCCACTCAGCTAAATCCCCAACCCCCTTAAGCCTCTTTTCAAATATTATCTTCGCTAGGAGTCAGCTGCCCACTGGATTAAACAGAACCCCTCTTAACAGTTCCTGTCCATAGCCAGGCATGTTGGCACTCCTATAATCCCAGCACTCGGGAGGCTGAGGCAAGAGGATCGCTGCAAGTTTGTAGCCAGCCTGGGCTACATAGTGAATTCAAGGCCAGCCTCACTACATAGTAAGACCCTGTCTCAAAAACAAACAGAACAGGGGCTGGGGATTTAGCTCAATGGCACCATGCCTGCCTGGCAAGGGCAAGGTCCTGAGTTTGATCCCCGGTGCCAAAAAAAACAAAAACAAAAACAAATAAAAAACCACTCCCTGTCTGCTCTTCCTCCTAAATATACTTTAAATCCCAAATATGTTTTATATCCCTATACATATACCCAGCACTGGACCTTGAACCCAGGGCTCTCTACTAAGAAACATCCCCAGCTCTTTCACTGAGATAGAATCATGCTAAGTGTCCCAGGAAGTACACAAACTTATGATCCTCCTGTTTCAGCTTCCTGAGTGCTGGGATTATGGGCACGCACCACCACACCCAGCTACATGACTTCAAAAAGAATCAAATTTAGCCAGGCAGTACAGAAAAGGGTGCAGCTCAGGCAGCCCAGCTTCTGAGCTTTCTTTGTGTGTGTGGGACTGGAGGTTGAACCCAGGACTTCTGCACCAAGCTACAGGCCCAGCCTTTTTTTTTTTTTTAAACATTTTGAGCTGGTTGGGTAGTGCATGATTGTGATTCCAGCACTCAGGAGGCTGAGGCAGGAGGATCGACATTATTTCGAGGCCAGCCTGGACTACATTGTGAGCTCAAGGCCAGCCTGAACTACATAGTGAGAGCCTGTCTCAAAAAAAAAAAAAACGAAAACAAAAAACTGAGACAAGGTCTTGCCAAGTTACTAAATTGGCTGGGTGGGGCTCAAACTTGAGATCTTCCTGCCATAGCCTCCCAGAGTGCTGGAATTATAGGGATGAGCAATTATACCTGGCTCCAAATTCACATTTATTTATTTATTTATTGCAGTGCTGGAGATGGAACCCAGGGTCAGAGTCAAGACTCCAGCCTCTGAGCTCATGTATTTAACCAGGATAGAAACTGAGTCCTGGTTCTGCCGGAATGTGCTGTGTGTCCCCAGGGAGGTTCCTGTTGGGCTCTGGCACAGGCAGGACCCTGATGTCACCAAGACTTATGGGGGGCGACAGGAGACAGGTGCTCACCAGGCTGGATGCTCTGGACAGCTGCCCTGAAGGGTTCTTCTGCGCGGAGCTGTCGGGGTCGGGTCCAAGGCTCAGCTTCTCCACTGAAATGTCCCTGTGGCATAGGCATAAGGCTGTGAGACCCAGCCCCAGAGCTGGGGGTTGCCAGGGCAGGGCAGCAGAGCTCCCCTCCTTACCCCACAGGCCGGGCCTCGGGTCCTGGAGAAGCCGCAGGGCTGAAGGTGCCCGTGGCTGTGGCATTGGGGATGAGCCTTCGCAGCAGCCGCACCCACGTGGCGACATCGATGTTCATCTGCCTGGCACGCTGGAACGCCTTCCCTGGGGGCAGGGCAGGCATCACCCCATGCCACCCTGGGACTCCATCTCTCCCAGCCTGGGCCTTCCACCCCCTCACCTTGCTGCTTGGAGAAGATTTTCTTCTGCCTCTGGAGTCGGGGGATCCTCTCAATGACAGGGTTGTGGAAGGTGACCTGGGTGAGGGGCCCAGAGGTGAGGACCATGCTCACTATACAGGACAGCAGGCAGAGCCCTCAGCTCTGTCCTGATGGAGCTTTCCTGGAGTAAGAGGCCTAGTGCAGCTGGGTGTGGCAGTGGATGCCTGTAATCCCAGCACTTGGGAGGCTGAGGCAGGAGGAGCACCACAAATGTGAGGCCAGCCTGGGCTACATAGTAAGTTCAAGGCCTGCCTGAACTGTACAGCCAGACCCTTTCTTAAAAACGCCAAAAAAATGGTTCAGGGATTCAGCTCAGTGGTTCTGCCACGTGCCTCACAAGCTCAAGGTCCTGAGTTCGATCCCCTGTACCAAAAAAACCCACACCAAAACCAAACAAACAAAATACAAGAAAAGAAAAGGCCTCCAACCCTAAAAAAGAGGGAGACAGAGGAAAAGAGAGACCTAGTGGATTAATAATGTGCCTCCTGGGTGGGTTCGGATGGGTCACGGGTACTCTGAGGCACCCCTTTTTTTTTCCAGTGTTGGGGACTGACCTCAGGCTCTTCACACTGAGCTGCATCATTAGCCCTTTTTTATTTTTTAATTTATACAGGGTCTCCCTAAGTGACTAAATTGCCCAAATTGGGCTTAAGCTTGTGATCCTCCTACCTCAGCCTCCCACAGCTCTGGGATGACAGGTGTGCACCACCACAGCTGCCACCCTATTTTATAATAAAGTGTTGACTAGCTCGAGTAACTTTCTGAACATGGCACTCAAAGTATAAAACAGGATGGTGCTATGTGTTGTCAGTGCATGCTTCCTACTGAATATGTGTTGCTTTATACCTTTTTTTTTCAGTACTAGGAATTGAACTCAGGACTTTGGGCTTGCCAGGCAGGCACGGCGCCACTGAGCCACATCCCTGGCCCTCTTCACACCTTGATGGTGCTGAGGGAGAGCATTCACCTAGCACACACTGGTCCCTGATGGAGGGGGAGGGTGGAGAGGAGGTTAGGGAAAGGAAGGAGGGACAGAGAACAAATAAAGGACAAGGGGGCCAGGGATTTAGCTCAGTAGCTCTGTGCTTGCCTCACAAGCACAAGGTCCTGAGTTCAATCCCTGGTACCAAAAAAGAAAAAAGAAATAAAGGACAAAAAGGAAGGGAGGGAAGGAGGGCAAGAAAAAAAAGGAAAGAGAGCCAGAGAGAGGGAAGGAGAGGGAAGGAGAGAGAGAGAGAGAGAGAGAGAGAGAGAAGGAAAGGGGGGAAGGAAGAAACAGAAGTCTTAGGTTGAACCACTGTCAGCCTTGGGTTGTCAGAATAGAGCTCTAAAGGTACAAATGTATAGGTGCCCAAAGACTGTACACGTGTGTGCATACACACACAGATAAAATGAGGCACACATACAGATCAAGGTTGAATTGAAAGATTTTTTGGGACAATGTGGCTCAAGGAGGGGACCAATGATTTTCTTTCTGTGTCTGAGTTTTATTTTCTCTATGGAGGTGGCTTTTTTTTTGGTACCGGGGATCAAACTCGGGTTCTTGCACTTGTGAGGAAGGTGCTGGAACCACTGAGCTAAATCCCCGGCCCTCTGAGTTTTATCTTCTGTCAAACCCAGCTCTCCTGGGCATGGTGGTACACGCCTATAATCCCAGCTCTCAGGAGGCTGAGGCAGGATTGCCATGAGTTCCAGTCCAGCCTGGAATGCATATTGAGACCCTGTCTCAAAAGAAAAGAAAAGAATACCAGCTCTCTTGTCTGTAGGCCATCATATAAATTAATGTCTATGTCCCTAAATGCCCAGTTAGCACCAGCCCATGCCACAGGTCTCAGCTAGAAAGAATACCGAGTCCTGGATTCCTGGCCAGGGGGTGGCTGTCAGGGGAACTTTCTGATTGTCAATATGGGGGAGGGGAGATGCTGCCCAGCATCCCCAGAGCCCAGCATGCCCCTCGCTGATCCAGCTCCTAAGAAACAGAGCCCCAGGGCAGGAACCCAAGTGACACCTGACCCTAACCCATCTGGGAGGAAACTGCTCCATGGTGGCTCTGGTAGCAATTGTGACATGTTCCCTTTTTTTTTTTTGGTACCAGGGATTGAACTCAAGACCTTGCATTTTCAAGGCAGATGCAGTGCCACTGAGCTAAATCCCCAGCCCTTATGTTACCATATTTTGTTTGAATGTATGGCTTGACCAAATGTTTGTGATTTTTCTTTTCTTTTTCTTTCTCTCTCTTTATTTTGGTTTGTTTTTTGAGACAGGATCTTGCTATATAGCCCAGGTTGGCCTTGAACTCACAGTGATCCTTCTGCCTCAGCCTCCCAGAGTACTGGGATTACAAACATGCACCACCAAGCCTGGCCTATTTTTCTTTTCTTTCTTTTTTCGGTACCAGGGATCAAACTCCGGTCCTTGTGCTTGCGCAGCAGGCGGCAAAACCACTGAGCTAAATCCCGGGTCCCTATTACTCTTTTTTTGTGCAGGGCTGAGGAAGAATGAACCTAGGGTCTCACGCAAGCTGGCAACCACTCTACCACTGAGCTACATTCCCAGCTCTGGTTTTTTTTGGTACCAGGGATTGAACTCAGGTCCTTGTGCTTATGAGGCAGGCACAGCACCACTGAGCTAAATCCCCGGCGCCCCAACTCTTTTATTTATTAAAAAGTTTACTTATTTGTGGTGGTACTAGGGATCAAACTCATGGACACTCTGCCATTGAGCTATGCCCCAGCCCCTTTTTATTTTGAAGCAGGGTCTCACTGGGTTGCCCAGGTGGCACTTGAACCTGTAACCCTCCTACTTCAGCCTCCCGGAGTGCTAGGATTACAAGCTCATGCCACCTTGCTCAGTTCATTTTTAGAAATAAGGTCAGGGATAGCTGGAGTACATTCTGAAAACTGTGCTGCCAAGTCAGAGGACCACCCCTGCACACAGCTATCCCTGGGCTGAAACCTCACACAGAGCAGGACTGTACCTCGCCTCCAAGTAAACCAGCCCCAGCTGCTGCTATCACCTCTGCCATGACTGTGATCGAGTGAGAGTGCTTCCTGCTGAGCTCGGAGCCGCTCTGAAGCACCCATGTGGCTGGCCATACCTCGGCCAGCAGGCAGCCCTGCGGCTCCATGTCCAGCTGCACCTCATGCCGTTCATTGTCCAGGAAATCTTCCAGTTTCAGGAACTTAAGGGCACACAGACCCCGTTGGTCCCGCCAGAACACAGCCAGCTCCAGCTCCCGGGCCTAGGGGAGGGATAGAGCAGGTTGCCAGCACCTGACCCCCAAACCCCTCCTCCTCCTCCCGGCTCTTGCCACCCCAGCGAAGCTCACCCGCTCCAGCTCTAATGTGAAGCTCTGGTCCCATGTGCTGGAGCCACATGGCTTCCAGGAAGTCTGTCCCACCACTGTGTTATCCAACTTCAGCACAGTGCTGACCTCACCTGTAAGGGGAGCGGCAGTCAAAAAACCACGGGGCCAAGCCAGTCCTGGTGGTGCCAACCTGTTATCCTAGCACTTGGGAAGCTGAGGCAGGAGGATTGCAAGTTTCAGCCCAGCCTGGGCAACTCAGCAACATAGCCAAATTACCTTAAAATGAAGAACTAGAAAAGGTTGGGGATGTAGCTCAGTGTAAAGGCCCTGGATTCAATCTCCAGTACCAAAGAAAAGAGAAAAGAACTGCTGGATCATATTAGGTCATTAATTTTTTCAATTTATTTAATTTTCTGCACCACTGGGACTGGAACCCAGGGCCTTGTACATGCTAGGCAAGTGTTCTACCACTGAGCTGCATCTCTGCCCTTAGTTTCATGTTTTTGAGGAACTGCCATACTGGTTTCCATTGTAACCAACTTACATCCCCACCAACAAGGGCTCCAATTTCTCCACATCTTCACCAAGACTTTCGACTTTCTGTTTGTTGTTGTTACTGCTATTTTGATAATAATCATCCTACAAGATTTATTTATTTTGATTTTCTGAGACAGGGTACAGCTAAGTAGTCCAGGGTATCCTTGAACTCAAGCAATCCTCCTGCCTCAGCCTCCTGAGTACTAGGATTACAGGAGTGTGCCACCATGCCCAGCCCTTCATGGTTGTTTTTCTAACCATCATCCTAATGGCTTTTAAACATATTATTAAAGTGGGAGATCCAGGACCCCCGCCTGCCCACACCCAAAGGGCTCACAGCACCCACTCACCTGTGTTCTCAGCTTCTGCTTTGAGGCTACTTCGGCCACTGAGGCTTCCACTCCGACTGTAGAGGCCCCGGCCTGGGCGGCTCAGGAAGGGGGTGCGGCTGTCAGGAGTCCCAGGTGTCCCCGAGGGCAAGGGGTTCCAGGGGATGTTCTCTGGAAGATCCCTGCAGCCCACCACACGTACCTCCAGAGTCCCTGCAAGAAAGGCAGGCTCATGGTGGGTAAGGCACATTAGGGTCAGGCTGAGGGGGCTGAGGTGAAGGGGCACATTCCAGAAGACACCACCATGTCTGACAAAGGACAACCAGAGCTGGGTGTGGTGGTGTAATCCCAGCACTCTGGTAGGCTAAGGCAGAAGGACTGTAAATTCCAGCCCATCCTGGGCAACTATGTAACTCAGCAAGACCCTGTCTCAAAATAAACAATAAAAAAGGGCTGGGACACAGCTCAGAGTGAAAGCTCTAGGTTTAATTCCAAGTGCTGCAAAAAAGGGGGGGGGGGGACAATAGCCAGGTGTGGCAGGCCAGCTAAGGTAAGGGGGGCAGGGGCTGACTGGAAGAATATGGGACACATGGTAGGGAGGCACTGTATACTGGGGATAGAAAAGTGATTCAGGGCAAGGGCTCAGATCTGGGTGTGGTGGTGCACGACCGTGATCCCATCACTTGGGAAGCCTGAGACAGGAAGATCGCTGAATTTGAGGCCAGCCCGGGTTACACAGTGCGTTAAAGGCCAGCCTGAAACCCTGTTTCAAAGGGGGGGAAAAAAAGGAAGCCAGGGTCCAGGCAAGGAGGAATATGGCAGAATTCGAGGTCTGGGTAAGATGCAGTGGGCGGGTTGATCGGCCGGTGGGGACGCCCACCTGTGAGCGGCGCCGGCTTACACAACGTGCTGTACTGTGCGGCAGGGAAGGGCCCAGTCAGCAGCGCGCTGAAGGCGGCTGATGAGGCCGCGGCCAGCTCCTCACGAAGCAGCCGCCCCTTCGGGTGGTCGGCGGGCAGCTCCCCCAACCTGCGCTCCAGTGCCTCGCGCAGCAGCCCCAGCTTCTGGTTGGACTCGGTCAACTTTTCCTGGGCCTGCAGCGTTAAGGCACATGATGTAGTTGGCCAGCCTGGGCCCCAAGCAGGGACCCGCATCCTATCCCAAGCCCAGACCTCGGCCAAACCTGGCGCCGCTCCTCTCGGATGCCCCGCCCCGCTGACAGCTATCCAAGGCTATCCAAACATTTTCGGCCAAGGCCACACCCCTCACTAAAGCCCAGAGCTCACTGACGTCTATTTAGAGATTCCGCTCCCCTCACTGAGGCCCAGTCCTGGCCTACACCACGCCCCTCACAAGCCAGTCCCTCACCGCCCCCTACCAAGATACTATCCTGAAGCCCGTCCCCTTGTTTAGGCACCGCCCCTACCGTTGGTCCAAGTTGGTGGACGCTCCGCCCCTCCCGGCAGAGCCCCACCCCCTCACCTCACTGACGGCCTTCCGGTCTGGGGCCTTGGCCGCACTGAGCAGGCGCAAAACGTTCTTGGCGCCCTCGGCGACAGCGTGCTCCACTCTGAAGTGATGTCGAAGCTCCTCGATGCGCAGCTCCACTGCTCCCAGGTCTGGACCCCCTGTGGGCAGGTCACTCGTCAGTGAGACCAGCCCGGTCCCAGACTGGCAGCCAAGTAGCGGACACCACCGCCGCCAAGACGGGTCCGTGTCCCCCCCCCGCCCCCAGCAGTCATGGTGACCCTCCACCCAGGCAGCCAGGCACACTCTACCCTGACGCAGTCACTCTTTTGTCCCAATGCCATTGCTTACAAGGATAGTCCAGGGACACAGTTATCGTCACAGTGACAATACATAGGCACACTGTCCACCCCGGTGAGGGACAGACGCACTGTAATGGGCCCTCTTCAATCCCAGGGGTGAGTATGGGGATGGACAGGCACATGGACAGTCACTTTATGACCTAATTCAGTCCTGACACGAGCACCTGCCACCGCTGGGGCAGGGACATAAACCGTACTGTCCTAGTAAGTCCCCACTGAAGAGTACCACCTGCCATCACATCCCTAGCCAGGCACAGGGATGGCCACAATGCACACTGCCCCCACCCCCCCGACCCCGATGGCCCTGGAGCCACAGGGACAGTGAAAGAGGCCCAGTGTCTACGTGTCCCCCAACTCATCTGTGCAAGCACTGGCCCACCAGGGGGTGCTATTTGGGGATGAGGCTTTGGAATTGATGCCATCATAAGAAGAGACACCACCCTGGGCATAGGGGTGCACTCCTGTGATCCCAGTGCTCAGGAGGCTGAGGCAGGAGGACCACTGCAAGTTGGAGGCCATCCTGGACTACGTAGTGAGACCTTGTCCCAAAAAAAGAAAAGAAAAGGAACACCAGCACCACATAAAACAAAACAGAAGAAACCCTGGAAAGCTTGTCCTTATGGTCTCTTGCATCCTCCCCCACCGTGTCAGGCTATAACAAGACAGAGGCCAGCGCAGAAGTAGGAACACAGCCTTTACCAGAACCAACACTGCTGCACCTGGATCTCAGACTTCCAGCCCCCAGGACCAGGAGAAAAGAAACTTCTATTGCTTGCTTGCATTTATTTATTGGGATCCTAGAAACTGAACACCAGGCTAAACTTCACACTGAGCTAATTCCTGGCACATTTTTTATTATTTATATAGACGGTACTAGAGATTGAACCCAGGGCCTTTGTGTTCAGCTACCTCCCCAGTCCCATTTTTTATTTTGTAATTTTGATACAGTCTCCTTCAATTATTAATTTTTTCTGGTACCAGGGATGGAACTCAGGACATTGCACTTCTGAGGCAAGCGGCGACACCACTGAGCTAAATCCCTGCCACCTAAATTAGTTATTAAACAGTGGTTATACTGTATTTTTTGGGAGAAATGACAAGGAAAAAAGGTCTGAACATGTTTAGGACAGATGTGGTTTTCCCACTGAGCATGTTCAACACACAGCTGATTGATCCTCACAGTCAGAGTGACATTAATACTGCCACAGGACGGTAGTAATGATACGGTCGTCCACATGCACATTACACCACGGCTCTATGACCCATCCAGGTGACAACTCTAACATGCTCACATGTGGGACAGCCCTGGACACCTACCCGTCACACATGGGCCCATGTGACAAGGCAACTGTCTGTTCCAGTGGTCCACACATTGTTTGGTTTTGTTTTGTTTTTTCTCACATTGTTCTTTCCATTAAAAAGCCAAACAGGAAATTTTCAACTGCTGGGGTGTTGAAGCAGTCACACAAGAATGTGTGGCTGTGCTGTGCACCAAAAAACCTGATTTTGGCAGGGGGTGGGTTTAGCCTGAGGATGGCAGTTTCCTAACATCTGATCTAGTCCAAACCTTGGACAAAACAAAACAAGAAACTGAGTCACACAGTTGTACCATCACCTCTACCCTCAAAACGATGCTTTCCAGGCCAGCGGCTGAGCCCTGCAAGATGGATGGCAGGCAAGGCTGTCTGGGTCATGGCACTCACCTGGGGCCTCGTCCGATGCTGCCTGGCTCTCCAGCTGGCCGGCCTGCAGGGCCCGACGGAGCTGCATGCGGATGATGTCAATCTTGGTCTTGCTGTCCTGTAACATCTGCTGGGCCGTCAGCAGCAGCTTCCGGTCCTGTGGCAGAGGCATCTGTGAGAGGAGGGCTGGGCAGCTTGGGTGTGACCCCCGCCCTCTGTCCAAATGCCACAGGCCTCAGTGACCATGGGACAGTGCTCTGGTGTGGCCACAATAGCACACGCTCCCACAGGTCTCAGGGCACAGAAGTGATACAGCCCTCAGGGCTTAAATTCCAGTGCCGTCACCTAGCAGCTGTGTGACCTCAGGCAGGCATTCAACCTTTCTGGGCCCAGGTTCCTCACTGCAGAGTAGTAATAGCACCGACCTCCACTAACTGAGGGATGAAAGGGTTGAGCTGTGTGTAGGGCTCAGAGTCCAGCTGGCACCAGCAGGGGCACTGTCTGCACTGACAGCCAGGACAGCATGTGGGTGAGTACTGCCCAAGGTCATGTGCATCCAGAATAGGTGAAGCCACAAAGACAGACTGCAGGCATGGTGCCACATGCCTGTAATCCCAGCACTCTGGGAGCCTGAGGCAGGAGGATCATGTTTGAGCCCAGCCTGGGCAATTTAGTGACTAGCAAGATTGTGTCTCAAAATAAAATTAAAACTAAACATCTGAGGATGTAGCTAAGTGCAAAGGCCAAGTTCTGAAAAAAAGAGGATTAATGTCTTTCTTGTGTCACCAGATTAGTCTGTTCTTGTTGCTGCTGCTCTTGGTTTGTGTGCTGGGGAGGGCACCAGAGCCACAATAAATGTGTGCCCTATCCCTGGGCTACATCCCTGGCCTGAATGTGATTTTCCTTTTGTTTTGTTTTGGATTTGGTCTTGAGAGAGTGGGCTGCTAGAGCCAGCTGGACACCTGCCATCAGGCTCTCGCATGTGTGACCTTCCTTCCAAACAAGCCGGGTTCCCCTTACATTTCTGCCATGAGGGTGTCACCAGGACCCAGCAGATGTCTTCATAACTGGGGGTGTGCCAGACATGGAGGGCACACCTGTCATTCTAGTACTCGGGAGGCTGAGGCAGGAGGATTGCTGTTGAGTTCAAGGCCAGCCTGGGCTACATAATGAGTTCAAGGCCAGCCTGAGTTACATTGGGAGACCCTGTCTCAAAAATCCAGAAATAAAAAGAATTGGGAACTAGACACTTTTTTTTGGTGATACTGGGGATGGACCCCAAGGACTAACCTATGCTAGTCAGGCGCTCACCACTGACTGAGTTGTGCCCCTCCCTGGGGACTTCTTTTCTCTATAAATTACCCAGGCTGTGATCTTCAGTTACAGCAACAGAAAATAGACTAAGAAGTGAATGATACCAAAACGAGAGAATAAACTAAGATGGGGTGTACACATGCAAGTGGGTGTGAACCAATTCAGGTATACACAGACAGAGGGCAAGTCTGTCTGAGTTTCTGCGTGCAGAGGGAAGGCACACACAGAGCCTGTTCCTGTGCCACCCACCTTGGTGCTGCCATTGCTGTAGGTCTGGATCATGTTCTCTGCACCCTGCTTCACCTTCAGCTCGATGGCCAACTGCTTCTCCAGGCCGGCCACTCGGCTCAGGTTGGTAGCCAAGCAGGTGGAGCTGCCTGCACCTGGGGACTGGGGGACATCTGGAGGGGACGAGAGGACAAGGGGTCACCCCGGTCTGCTGGGGAGGCTCTGCCCCAGCTGCAGGGATCTGCTTGTCATCGAGCCTGGATGTGGCACACTGGAGAGGGGAAGCTGAGGACAGGACACGGGCAACTGGGGACAGCAGAGCCCAGGATGTCGCCTTCCCTGGCTCTCCCAGGAAAGCCCTGCAACTGGACGCCTCATACAGGACTCAGCATGGACCTGAGCAGGAGAACATCCACACGTGCACATCTTTGGGGTTTGGTGTAGAAACACCCTGACTTCTAACACTCCTAGTGTGAGTGTGTCACCCTCAAGGGCTGGGGATTTAGCTCAGTGGTTCCGGTGCCTGCCTCACAAGCGCAAGGTCTGGAGTTCGATCCCCAGTACGAAACACACACACACACACAAAACACACACACTCTCAATGCCAGTGTGACTGAGGTGCCAGGCATGAAATAACAGTGCGAGACTGATACTGAGGGGACTCTGTCTATGGTTCCAGCAGTTGGCACAACCAAGTTCCAATCTCCCAGAGTCGGTGGCACCGTGTTGCAGATTCTGGGTGATGGTGCAGCCAGGCATGGGGGTCTGTGAGCCACTGGAGGCGGTGATTGTGGGGAACTCTACCCAGACTGAGCATGAGACCTCGGTGTTGGCTGGTTCTGTCCCTGGGGGCTGATGTGATGGTGCTGTACTACAGGGAGTAGCTGCTGACAGGCCTGCACTGGCTGTGAAGATGGCAGCTATGCGGACTCCAAGTGAGTCTCTGGGCACCGTGGTGTGCTGGTGTGGGGCAGTGGAGTCTGAGTGCTGCCAGCAGGCTCTGAGGTCCACAGGAGTTCACTCAATCCCTGGGTGCACTGTGAGTACTGCCGTGACTGCCTGTTTTTCTCTGGGTATTCACGCGACAGTAGCCGAGTCTCTGGGTATCACCCAGATGTGAATATGAGTATCAGAATCTTTGCTTACAAGATGAAAATGTTCTAAGCCAGGTATGAAGATGCACACCTATAATGCCAGCACTTGGAAGGCTGAGGCTGGAGGATTCCCAAGAGGCCAGTATGGGCAACACAGTCAGTTCAACGAGACCCTGAACTACATAGTGAGACCTTGTCTCAAAAAATAAAACAAAACAAAACAATACAGAGCCAGGGGCACCGCGCCTGCCTGGCAAGCCCAAGGTCCTGAGTTCAATTCCTGGTACCAAAAACCAAAACAAAACAAAAGAACACAATACAAAAATGCTTAACTGAACTGCACATTTAAAATGGTAGATTTTATGTTGCAGGGTTTTTTGGGGTTTTTTAACCACAATTTTTTTTTTTAAATTTTAAATTAAGATATAGCTGAAGGGACAAAAAGGACTAAGAAGGGGCCAGGGATGTAGCTCAGTGGCGCCATGCCTACCTGGCAAGCGCAAGGTCCTGAGTTTGATCTCCAGTACTGGGAAAAAAAACAACAACAACAACAACTAAGATGTATTCTCTATATATACAAACTCCCCAAGATAAATGTAATCATTATATCCTGCAAACCTGTACTAATAAAAAAAAATTAAAATGTTTAAAAAAATAGTGAAGCACGGTGGTCCAAGCCTGTAATCCCAAAACTCAGGAGGATGAAGGAGGAAGATCATGAGTTCGAGGTCATCCTGGGCCACATGGTGAGTTCAAGACCACCCTAGATGACACAGTGAGATCTTGTCTCAAAACTCAGCAACAGGCCTGGGGATTTAGCTCAGTGGTTCTGCCACCTGCCTCGAAAGGGCAAAGTCCCGAGTTTGATCCCTGGTACCAAAAACCAAAAAACAAAAAACTACAGCAACAAAAACAAAAAACAAAACCAGCCTGGGCAACTTAGTGACTCAGTGAGACCTGTCTCAAAAAATCATAAAGGGCCAGGCATTTAGCTCAGTGGAGGTGCACCTGCCTCTCAAGTGCAAGGTTCTGAGCTCAATCTCCAGTATAGGGGCGGGATATTTAAAAAGGGCTGGGTATCTAGTTCATTGCAAGGGCCCTGTTCAATCCTCAGTACTGAAAAAAATTGTGAAGTGTATTTGTGTATCCTGGGGGTGATGGGTGTGACTGCACGGGAGTCTGGGCTATGAACATGATGGTATGTGCATCTTTGGGTGTTAGTGTGGCTGAGTTTGAATTTCTAACACTTATGAGACTGTGGAAGTGTGCATCTGGGTGTCGTGTAGGAGCTGGTACAGCTCTGGGGCTCTGTGACGTCATGTTGCCAGTGTGTGCATCTCTCTGGATGTTGGTGTGACTGTAACTTTCTGGACATTCACATGACAGTGTCACTTGGGGATGGTCCAGGTGTCAGTGAGGCTGTGTCTCAAGGTTATGCGTGTGACAGTGTGCAAGCCTTGGGGCACTGTGTTTTGGTATGACTGTGTGACTCCAGGTATCGGGGTGACAGTGTGACACCCTGAATAATGCCTAGGTGTTACTAGTCTTGTTTTGAGGTCATCGGTGGCAGTGTGTGACCCCGGGCGTGTCTCGGTGTCAAAAGAACTGTGACAGCTTCTGAGTGACCTTGTGACGGTGTGTCACCTGCGTGGTGTCAGGTATTAGTGTGGCTGTGGCCGTGTGTGAGCCTGGGTGTCAGTGGGATGTATGTCTGGGTAGTCCTGCCACGTGGTGTGTTTTTGGGCGGCGTCCCCCCTCGTGTCCCAGAGCTCACCCTGGCCAGCAGTGGGCTCAGGCAGCACCACGTGCGCGTGCAGCTCCTGCAACTGGCGGTGCAGCAGGTCCAGGCGGCGCGCAGAGCCACGCAGCAGCAACTCCACGGGGCCCCGGCCTCGACCCAGGTCAGTGGCTGCACGCCTCAGATTCTCTGCACCTTCCTTCAGCTTCAGCTCCTTGCGGATCTCACGCCGCAGCCGCTCCCGCTCCAACTCCAGCTGCTGCTGCACCCCGGGCGCCGCCAGGTCCGCACCTGCCAGGCCCAGGTGCTCCAGCAGGGACCAGGGCTCGCTCTGCAGGATGGGTGGGGGGCAGTCAGGGATGAGGGCCCAGGAGCAGCCAAGGTGGCCCAGCACTGGAACCCAGGCCAGGGCCTGCTCCTCCCCTTCTTATCCCCAAAACCAAGAGGGGAGATGGACCCTGTTCTGCTCCCTGACACCTCCAAACTGAGATGTCAAAGGACAGGCTACAGCTAAGAGCAAGGGACCCCACAGGTTCAGCCCCATCTCCCTGTCTGTCTCATCGGCAGTGGGGTTCTGGAGGGCAGGCCTCATTTTCCCCTCTGCCTCCCACACCAGGGGTTCTGAGGGATGATTCCTTCTCCCATCTGCTACCACCCAAACTAATGGGTCCCTGGGACAGGCACTATCTTCCCTCTGCTCTACCCCTAGACTAGGAATTGTTTTCTATACTGATAATTGATCCTAGGGCCTTTGCAGCATTTTATTTTATTTATTTTTTGAGACACAGTCTCACCATGTAGCCCAGAGTGACCTCAAGCTCATGGCGATCCTCCTGCCTCAGCCACTGCAGTGCTGGGATTACAGGCGTGTGCTACCACACCCAGCTCCCAGCTTTTTAAATTTTATTTTATTTTGAGACATTCTCACTAAATCACTAAGTTGCCCAGACTGGGCTTAAACTTTCCATCCTCCTGCCTCAGGCTCCCACAGTGCTGGGATTACAGGTGTGCACCCCCATACTCAACTAACATTGAGGGAAAGGTCCCTTCTTTCTTCCCTCTGCTGTATCCCCTCAACTAGAAAGTGCCAAGGACAGGCCCTGTCTTTTCTTTGCTGTATCCTCAAAGTAGAAGATCCCAAGAGCAGGCCCCATATTCCCTCCTACCCTTAAAAACTTGGGGCCCCGAAGAACAGAGTCCTGTTTCCTTCCTCTATCTCCCCAACCTAGGAGCCCCAAAAGGCCCCAGACATTTTCACCCTCCACCCAGGTATCTCTGACGCCAGCGCACCATCTCCTCTCCTTAGTCCCAAACCCAAAGGTATCTAGGGCAAGGCCTCTTTGCCTGTGCCTCAGGGATCCCCTTCTGTCTACCCCTATGGGGACCCAGCCCCCACCTCCAGCTCCTGCTCCGAAGGGGGATCACCCTCCGCCATCCTGGGTCCCTGCTGAGGGCCCCACCCTCTTCCTGGACCTCAGCCCTGCCAGGGCCTCTGGGCCGCCACTTCCTCTTTCCTGCCAGCTCCCAGCATTCCCCGCGCCTGGCGGGTTAGCTCAGGGGCATTAAGGAGACCTCCCCTCCAACCCTGTCCAGGTGGTTGTCCTTCTCTTTCCGGCGCAGCCCAGGGATGGGCCTCATTCCTGTCCCCAGGAGGTGACAGGGAATACAGGCCCATGGTGTGAGTGGCAAGCATGTGGATACACAGGCTACAGGGAGTCACTGTGTGTGTGCACCCTTTCACAGTTACCAGCATATGCATGAACATCAGTGTGTGCGCACTTCCTGGCCTGCAGGTGTGTGCTGGAACATGGGCTCACACCGAGGCACACTCATATGTCTACCTAAACACACGCTCATATGCAAACACTGTCAGGTGATACTGTGGGTCACTCTAGAACTTGTACAATGCACACCCACCTGCCCCAGTGGACATGGCCGCTTGCCCATGCATGCACACATGCTCACACATGTGTGCACGCTTGCCTAGGCCCGAAAACATGCCCATGCTCCATGAGCCTCCAGCACTGCCACCACCTGAACACATCCCCACAGCCGGGCCCTCCCCCTGCCCCATCCCCAACTTCCCCTCCAGGTCACAACAGCCAGTTCTGCAGAGGCCAGGCCCCCTTCCTGCAGGCAGCAGTCGACTTCCTGCTTCCTCTTGTCCAGACAGCCATGGTGCAACCACAGCCTAGGGGACCAGCCAGCCCAGTGGCTGCCCCTCAGACAAACACTGTAAGGTGACAGCACTGGGGCTGGAGACAAGAACAGCCCCCAGGGCTGGGGATTTAGCTCAGTGGTTCTGCTGTCTGCCTTGCAAGCGCAAGGTCCTAAGTTTGATCCCCGGAACCAAAAAAAAGAACAGCCCCTAAACAGCACACAAACCACCTGCCAAACACACACTGGAACTCAACTATTAATAGTGTTACAGGGTAGGGCATGGCGAGATGGAGCACTCGCTCAGCCTGTGCAAGGCCTGGGTTCCAGCCCAGCACAGCAAAGAATAACAATAATGGCAGCTACTGCAAATCTCCCCCAGGTCACATCACATGAGTGCTAGTATCAACCCATTTTCAACACAGGAGACCAGGGCCAGGCATGTGGTTCAGTGGTAGGATGCTTGCTTAGCATTCAAAAGGCACCAGGTCAGACCCCAGTTCCACAAGGGGGAAAAAAGAAGATGAAACTAAGACCCAGAGCAGTGACATAACTTGCCCCAAGGTCCCACAGCCTGCAGGAGGTTGGGCCAGGATTTAAAACAAGAGCACTCAAACCAGGCATGGCAGGGCACATCTGTAATCCCATTAGGTGCTACTATAGGAAGCTGAGTCAAAAGGATCACAAATTCAAGCCTACCCAGAACAACACAGGGAGACCCTGTCTAAAAATAAAAATTATTAAAAAAAATTTTTTTTAACTAAAAATTATTTTTAAAAAGCTGTCGATAGGGCCGGGGATTTAGCTCAGTGGTTCCACCGCCTGCCTCACAAGCTAAGGACTGGAGTTCGATCGCCAGCACCAAAAAAAAAAAGCTGTGGATGTAGCTTCAGTGTGAATTCCCTGGGTTCAATCTCCAGTGTCACACACACACAAAAAAAGCCCTGAGAATCTCAACACAGGCTGAGAAGATCCTCACATGCTCCTGTCTGACCTCCTGAGCAACTGTCCCCGGCATGGGCCCCAGGGCCGCTTCCCCTCAGGGTGCCCCAGAGCCATCTTCTCATAACTCCACCAGCCCCTCACCATCCCTTCACCGAACACCTGAGCAGCTATTACTCCTCTTCCTACTTTATATGTGAGGAAACAGGCTCAGAAAGGTGACAGCAGTCCTCTACCGCTGGGGAGTTTGTCCCAAGCCCTGAGGGCTGGTGATCATCTCTGGGTGTACAGAGGTAGCTTCTATAACATTGAACCCATGGATGGTGTAGGACATCCTACAGTGCAGGGGGTGGCCCTGCCACAGAAATCCAGCCCCACATGTGGGCCATGTAAAGGCTGCCAAGCGTTGGGCTGGACCTGGGATCACACATGGGCTGGGACCACTACAGATGTCACAGCATCCCGGCCTCCCATCTCTGAGAGTGAAGACATCTGGCTGGCTGGGGGCACAAAGCAAGAAAGTGGCATCACTGGAGTTGAAACCCAGGGTCACCTAATCCCAACCTGGCCCATGCAGCCCCTGCCTATCACCTCACTGCCAGCCCCACCCTGTCCCCAACAGGCAGAGCCAGGACACAGCCAGGAGTGAGGCCAGCTCAAAGAGGGAGGGCCCAGGAGGAGGGATGACCTCCCTCAACCCCAGCTCCGCAGAAGAGGAGGCTCAGAATATGGAAAGCAGGGAGGGAGGGAGGCCAGGCCTCCTGGGTCCTCCTCCCTTGGGTGACTCACTTCTGCCCTGGGCAGGGGGCAGAGGTCACCTGAGGGCCAGCCTTGGGGAAACTCAGGAATCAGGTCTGGCATAGCCATGGAGAATCCCTGCACCTCCACCTCCCACTGTGGATCAGGGGGCATCAGACCCAGGGCACCCACCTCCAGGAAACCCTTTTCCCAGGGTGGCCAGTGACCTAGCCTCGCATGTCCTGAGATATCACTGCCTTGGGTGTTTCCGGAGTTGGGACAGGACATCCGTTTGCAGGACACAGAACAGAAACATTGGGACAGAGGGACAGGGTGGCGGGCCCAAGCAACCACAAGTAAGGGATCACCAAAAGTGGGGAAAGAGCGGGCGCCAGATGGGAAGGGGATCAGGCACAGGTCCAGCCTCATTCCAGGGATCGTGGTTCACACCAAGCACATGCGGGGTGTGGGGGGGGGCACAGCTGTCCCCAGCTGTGGGTGGAGGCAGGGACCCTGGCCCATCCCAGCCCCAAGGTCTGACCTTGTGTGATCGGCAACACCAGATACGCCCAGCTCCTCCACAAGGCTGACAGGCCATCAGCGGGACTGGGGACAGGGACACAGGGAAGACACAGAGGAGATGGGGCAGGTTTGGAAGGAGACGAGAAACAGTTACACAGCAACCACGGGACAATGGACTGGATGGAGAGCCACTGGCTGGGGAGGCACCAGCCACACACATCTCCGGTTTGGATCAGGAACCAAAAGGGGTGCGAGGGTCCTCTGGTCTGCTCCACACAGGTGGAGAAAGTGACGCGCCCCCCGCCCCAGGTGACACAGGGTGAGTCACAGGTGGAGTGGACGGTGACCCAGGCCTGCCACCCTGGCGTGCAGGCAGGATTCCAGGGACAGGAGCATCCCCACCCTTTTAACAGGGACAGTCTGAACCTGGAAGCAAGTGCCACCCGGCAGCGGCAGCCTCTGCAGCTGGAAGGGTAGGTGCGGGGGCGAGGGGGGGGTCCTCGGTTCCGGAGCCTAATGAGGTGACTCGGGCACTTCCGCCAACAGGTGCCTATCAGGGAGGCGTCGGCCCGCAGGCAGGGTGGCAGGTGACGAGCGGGACACCTGCCCAGGTGAGGCTGGGGCGCGGGGAGGGGACGAGAGGGTCCTGGGGAGCACAGCGGCCGCCCTCCCCGAGGCTCCCTGCACCCCCACTCTCAGGCTGGGGTGCGTGGGCCTCGCGGGGCCGCCTCCTCTCCTCGCCCCCGCCCTCGGTCCGGTCGCGTCGCCGTCGCCGCTGAGGGGACGCAGGTGCGCCTACCTGCACGGCGTCGCTGGCCATGTCCGCGCCACGCCCGCCGGGGTCCCCGCGCAGGGTGGAGCGGGCGAGCACGCGTGCGCGGACCGAAGGATGGGCGCGCGGGCGGGGCGGGCGGCGACCCCCGCGACCCGGGAGACCCCGGCGACGCTCCGCGCGGCGGCTCCGGCCTGGTCGCTCCGCCCCGCCCGGCCGGCCAGCGTCCGCGCCGCGCCCTCCGGACCAGCGGCCGCCAGCGGTCACGTGAGCGCGAGGTCGGCGCCCGGGGAGGGGGCGGGGCAGAGGCGGGGCTCCCGGCGGCCCCCGGGGCTGCAGGGTCCTGCCCGCAGGGTCCCAGCCCCGCCCCGCCCCGCCCCGCCCCGCCCGCGCCGCGCTTCCCGGGGTCCACCGGAGCCAAGCCCGTCAACCCACGGTAAGATGAGCCAGCGGGAGCCAGGATGCAAGGGCCTGTGGGCTCCGGGACCCCTCAAAAACCAAAGTACCCGGGCATGGTGGCACATGCTGGTCATCCCAGCACTAGGGAGGCTGAGGCAGGAGGATCACGGTGAGTTAAAGGCCAGCATGGGCTACATATGAGACTTTGTCTCAAAAAAAAAAAAAAGACAAAGCAGAGCCTGGAATTTAGCTCAGTGTTTCTGTTGCCTGCCTCGCAAGTGCAAGGTCCTGAGTTCAATCCCTGGTACCAAAAAAAAAAAAAAAAAAAAGCAAAAGCGGGAATCCATCCCCCCCTGCATTACATGCAACCTCAGGCCACCTGCCCCCCCCCACATCCCTCTGTGACACCAAAGTCTCCCCCATGCCTGGCCACAACCTCTGGGCAGACCTGAGTTCCCATCCCAGCGTCTATGTCTGAGGGGAACGCTAAGCTCCTAAGAGCTCCGAAAATGGGAAGGGTTTAGCCTCTCCGGTGTTGGTAAAATTAAATCTCCGGTCATGTCAAGTGCTGAAAACACAGTAAGCCTCCATAAATGATAGCAGATGTCACTGTGAGTGTAATTGTCATTAGTATTATTATTATTTTTTGGTACTGGGGATCGGACTCAGGACCTTGGGCTTGCCAGGCAGGCAGTGGACCCACTGAGCTAAATCCCCGGCCCAAGCTCCTTTTAGTAATAGTAATGTCAGGCCGGGGATTATCTGTCTCATCCACTGGCCTCTCACCTTTTTGCACCCCTCCCCGGGCCACTCCACCACCACCCACCTGGAAGCACAGTTGCTTTCTTCCTGGCCTCCCAGCCTCTTCCTCTCCCCCTCTGACCTGTTTTGCCCCAGAACAGCTCAAGGGACCAGGAGAACCTGAGTCACAGAACATCCCTCCTCTGCCTAAAATCCTGCAGGGCTCCCTTCTCACTCAGAAATAAACCCAGTTCCTCACTAGGGATAGAGCCACATGCCTGTCATCCTAGCACTCAAGAGGCTGAGGCAGGAGAATCACTGCAAGATCAAGGCCAGCCTGGGCTACATGGCAAAACCCTGTCTCAAAAAAAAAAAAAAAAAAAGGAAGGAAGGAAGGAGGAAAGAAAGAAAAGAAAGAAAATCGGAAAAGCTCCTCACCTTGAAAGAAAGAAAGAAAATCGGCAAAGCTCCTCACCCTGATAATCAAGCCAGGGTGTCTGTAGCCCTTCCCCTGGCAGACACAGCCGCATCTCCCTCTAATTGTCCAGCCCACTCTTTTTTTTAGACAGGATCTCACTATGTAGTCCAGGCTGGTCTTGAACTCACAGTGATCTTTCTTCCTCAGCCTCCCAAGTGATGGGATGACAGTTACGTACCACCAAGCCTGACTTAGCCCACCCATTTTACAGAT